ATCTGGTGAAAATTTCATGTCATTAGCACCTCTAGTAATATATTTACTGAGAAAAATGTTGACGTGTTCAATACTTATTTTACCCGCTGTATATTATTACAGTTGAATAAGTAAAATGCTCTGTTGCAAGCAGACTGTGCTGTTCTAACACAATCCAGTAAAAAGGTCTTTGCTTGCAGCCACACTTGGGTTTTCATGGCAATTAGTGTGTCAGAATGAGTGTAATTGACAGCTGCCACAGCTGGGATGCAAACTCCTCCAAGGTGAGCTGGTGGGCAAGCCTGGGGGGATCGGAGGGAAGTAGAACAAACTCTGGGTGCTTTTATTTCATTTTTCTGTTTCCTGACATTTACCTGATGGTTTGATTTAACCCAGAGTTAACCAGGTGATCAAAGATGTCAGAACTATAACAGACAATATTATATACAATATTATCTATAAACTGACCGTTTAATTGTGCTGAAAAAATGAAAAGAGTCTTTTTGGATTCTGCAAACTGTTCATTACGAATTTTATTAAAATACACAAATACAGCATTTGTATTTTGATCATTTGTGATCCTTTTCTCTGTTTCTACATTCCAACTGGCTAAAATGGGGGGTGGGGGTGGGATTGTCTAAATTTTCCTCAGAAAAGTTATTTTTTATTGTGCCATAAAGACTATTTTAATCACCATGGAACTGGAGCAAAAAGGGGTACATTMTTTAGATTTTTTTACAATAACTTTTAACTGAGTATGAAAGGCAAAGCGTGCCATAGTTAAATAAATATTTGTATCAATAAAGAACAATTTAAATATTTATGAATATAAATGAGACATTTTGATACAACTTGATCTTTGTTTGATTTAGGATAAATTCATGTCCTAATTATTTGGATTCTGTTGACTTTCAAAAATAAAACTTTTAAAAATGTCCAATCAAATGTAAGGGTCTGTTGATAAGTCACACTTATCTGAAATAATTGTATTTTACATTTTGACATAGGATACAAAAATTAATGTTAAAACAGGGATGTTACCATAATATAATATTCAAGTCTTAAAGCTTTTATGCGTCATTTGTGCCTATTTTGTTAACAATTATTGACAAGTTTTTAAATTTAATATAACATTCTTTATGAATTGTTAAATAGTGAAATAACAGACTGTTTTTAACAGCTTCCATTTTTTATGCATTCATTTACATAATAATACATTCAGTTTCAGCACTGTTGCATTAAGTATTTTACTAATGATAAATCAATAAATTTGTGTTCAGTGTTTGAGGCGCTAATCATATTTCCATGCATGGTTGATTTTGCATCAGTACTACCCATGATGCATTGCAGCTTAAACTAAATAGCTAACAAGTGGAAAGATTATTTTTGACACAAAATCAGACAAAATTGTTTTTGTCAGAGTATCATGTCTCATAACCACTTGTAATTGAGGTTTGCCTCTGCAGTCGTTGCTCCTTCCAACTCTGAGGAGAAACGCACAAATCTGACCCACAACCAGAGGTTTTTTTTTTCTTTTTTTTTAACTTGTTAAAAAAGCTTCTGGCTTCTAGCTGAGATCACATGTGACTGACGGCAGGTGGCTGGGAGGTGGGAGCTGCTCTCCCATTCAACACACTCCACATCCGAGCCCTTCATCTGTCACCGCAGCAGGCAGCACTGGGATGTACTGCCAGGGCTATTCCTGGCTCTGCTTGTCACACACAGTAAAAATATGCAGACTCACACACACACACACCTATACACACCTGTCTGTGGTCATTTTCCCCTGTGTCTCCATGAGGTGGGCATATTAACAGTGGCAGGTAGTTGCTGTGGCATGCAGAAGCTGTCCTGAGGAGACAACTGTTGAGGAATTAAAGATGAAATCAGATTTCTGACTCATGCTGCAGGTCTCATTCAAAGCTGCACCAGGTGGAGTTTGATGAAGGAACCCACGACTCAGCAGCCTAAATCCAAATGAAAGCCTCCAAACTGATGAAACTGCAGACTCATGCTTTCACTTTAATGTCAGCAAAACTATTTCCTTCAGCTGCTCAAACCTGTGGTCTTGAAGTCTTTTTTTTTCAGAGATGAAATTAAACCAAGAGCTCCTTCTTTATCTCTTATTCTGCCAAAAAGGTTTTGCAAAGCTACATTTTACCAACATCCCTCATAAATGTCTCCCCAGACTGCTTCCAGCATCCAGCTAAACTAACTGACTGATATCCACAGTATTCCTGAATTTGTGCCACTACCCATAAATCATAGCGGACGTCAGTTTTATACTTCTGCGTACGCTGCTCCTAATGATCGGGGGTTTTGTTGGTATCGCTGGAAGCTGTCTGACGAGCCAGCTTTGGTGGCCAGTCTTAGCCCAGCTAGAGCTCTGGATGAGGGTGTATCTCTGTAGGTTTTTTGTCGATTAAATGAAGAGTAAAAAAAGAACTCTCTTCAGTGGATTTTGWGTTTTAAAAGGAGACCAATGATGGGTCCTAGAAATTTTTATGGTATGTCTGTGGGCTATCCAGACCATGTTCATTCAATTTAATRCACGAAATAATTCTCAGAAWATAAAATTTCCCATTTTCTAGTTCTGCCTATTCTGACTTCCGTTCAGAAGAGCTGTTTATGTGAATGAGCTCTGTTGGTACCGCCCTCCAAAAATCTGTTGACATTAACTCCGCCCTCCAAAAATCTGTTGACATTAACTCCGCCCTCCAAAAATCTGTTGACATTAACTCCGCCCTCCAAAGCCAGAGCTTACGTTAGCATGGCTAATGATAGCAGAAGCTCCGTTGTACAACTGTAGACCCTGAGTCAGACCCAGAGGCAAAGTCGTGGTCGCAGCTTTTTTTTATTTTCTCTCCTCTGCTCTGTGCTCACTCTGCATGCTATTACCAGAGCAGGGAGCAGCAGCGGTCAAAATACCTCAGAAACTCGAACAAATAGGCTTTAACAAGGCTTTAATAAGCTAAACAATAGAGGTACAYGAGAAAACATGTTCATAATGAACGAAAATAAATAATTAAATTGTATGTGTCTGTGCCGGTCTCAAACCCTGGTCTCCCACTCTGGTCCAACACTCTACCCATTGCCCTATTGGAGGCTTGATGTGAAATGAGCTGCGCATTACACAACAACACAGTGACAGCTTTTTACACTGAGGAGGTGGGGTTTCACCGGGGTGAGGGGCTGAACGCAGGTTCCGGTGGGTTGTCGTACAGCTTGTGACATCACAAAATGACGGAAGTATAAAACTTGTCATTAATATACATTAAAAATACACTAACTTACAGTAAATATGCCCCTGGGTGCATTTTTTTGGTCCTAGGACTGTTTTATAAAGAAGTACATACCCAAAATTGAGTAAAAAAAAAAAACTTTAAAAAGTGAATTTTGCATAATAGGTCCCCTTTAAAGCTGTCAACCACATTAGTTTTTGACCCTCCTTTGTCTGCATTAGTGCAGGGCACTATGGACATGCCTTTCCTACTTCTTGTTGTTCCGGGCAAAATGTTTCTAAAGCATTTCTCAGTTTTGGTCAATTGTTGTGGCAGCCGACAAAAACACGAGTTGAACCCGAACTTGTGATTGAACTGTTCAAGCTGCCATAAAAGCAAAACAAAACAAAACAAAAAAAACTGGTTTTGATGTTATAAACAATGAATGAATCTCCGGTTCTCGATTTGCGTACCGGAAATATGAAACCGGAGGGCGGAATGGAAGTAGTGCTATCAGGAGGGTGGCACGACAAACCCAGGGCACAGACAAAAGGTTCAAAAGGCCAAAAAATAGCTTTAAGAAAGAACAAAAATGCTGACGAKGCAGCTCAAAAACACTCACAAGATCACTGGGGGGAAAAACAGCACGAGGAACTCAGAGACACCTCGCAAAGACTGAACACAGGACACAGAATATAAAGGTGAACTAATGAGAGACAGTGGAAAACACCTGGGGAGGCACAAGAGGAAACAGTTGAGCGTGGGCGGGGTTGAAAGCAAGACAACAGGGAAGAGAGACACAGGGGAACAGAGAAACACTAGAAATGAAAGCAAAATCACACAGATCATGACACGTGGTCTGCCATAGCAGCCTACACATGCTTTTACAGAAACCTGTGGATAATGAAACAATTGAACTGTTTTGTCATTGTGACGTTTTAAAACCTTTTCATATCTTGATAATAAAACTGCACATCTACTGTAGATACAACAAATAAATGTTCTAATAATTACTTTAACTCTTGTTGGGCCTCTCAAGGCTTCGACTCAGAGACCTAAACCCTCATTCAGAACCGCCACGGACTGTCAGGTGTAGCAGCATCTTAAGAAGTGCAGAGTCCTGTCTGCCGTGAAGAGCAGATGCTTCATTTAGTCAGGTTATGAACTCTTCACTGTGTCAAGTGTCAGCTAAAGCACCGACGTCATTCTAATTCCTGCCTTGCATCAAGGGAGTTACAACCAATTATTAATGTCTCCTTTTCGAAACACCTTGTGAGAATGGGTCTGCTATGAAATTTAAAGGAGAAAGTAAATGTGAGAAAAATCAGAGGTTTGTGTAAATGTGTGCAAATAAATGGGCATGTTCTTTACTGAGATCTTACTTTGAAACTTTGCAAAAACAGCAGGAAAAGTTGATCAAATTTGCCCTCCTGCCACGCCACGTGCTCTTCCCAGCAGCCTGCGGTCAGTTTCCTATCAGGCTGCTAAATCAAATGAAGGACACCTCACTAATTCAATACTGAAATGTGAAAAGGTGAAGTGAGGAAAAGACAGGAATCCTCTCAGCTTCAATAATTAGACTGAGGTCTCTCCGGCAGGTCATCTCAGAGTGAGCTCACAGACGTTCAGCCGTGTTTCTCTGGTTTTATTTCAGCTTATTTCCAAACATAACGCTTTTGAAGTTAAATTCAGTACTTACCTGTGTTCTTCTCTTCCCAGTGTTTGCCACTTCACGGTCATGGATTTGTTCTGGGGAAGTACCAGTGCAGCTGCAAAAAAGGCTTCTACCATCCCAACAGAGTAGCTGTCAACGGCTTCTCACGTAAGTCACGACCACTCTTTGAGCTGACAGGTGTCTGCATGTAAGAAAATAATGAAACTGGACTGAGGAAAAATATCTTGTAAAATAATGGGGCAGATGTGTCAAACATGATGGGATTGAAACTTGTAAGTCCAGCAATTTACACATTTTCTTTTAAAGAAAATATGTAAATATCTTTACATATAGACTAAGTGGAATGAGTTGACCCAACGTGGTTAAGTAAATTCAACACATCATTTTTTTAAAGTGCATAAACAACTCTTTTCATGGTGAGGTCAGTCATATTTAAATTTGTAGCATGCAGGTGTTACATTTTAAAGTAAAGAAAAAAAGTATCATTTTTAGGTTTTGAATGTACCAAAATACAAGTTAATGTTATGATTTAAAAATATACAATTCCTCAAAATAATTACTCAAGTACTGTAACAAAGTGAATGTACTTACACCTCCCAGATAGCAAAATATGTTAATTTCTTGTTGAATTATGGTTAGTCGATGATTGATGGTGAATCAACCATCAAACAATCATCCAATTGTAGCCAAATAACCAATGTAGAAAAGATGTCATTGAATCAATGGTTCATGGTTAAATTCTAAAAACTGAAATGCCAACGTCTAATCAATGTTGAATCAACATTGGTATAGTATCGGTTGTGGTTGAAACTTAACATTGTTTCAACTAGTAAGTCACCGACCACTTTTTGTATAATTTCAATATGGATTCAGAATCRTATTTTAGTGTTGATTCACTCATATTTTGCTATCTGGGCTCTGATTTACTGAGTGTTTAACTCATAATTTGTCATTTGTTTTGTCTAGTATTTCTCAGTTCAGAACAAACACCTCATGGAAGAAATAATACAGACCTTTTAATGTGTGATTAACTTGGGAGGTTATAAGCAACTAATATCTTACCTGTCGTAGACAGCTTTAAGTTTGGCCTCAGTTTAGAGATCGAGATGATTTCTGTCCAGATTGGCAAATTAACAGCTAGTTTGATTGCTGCAGACTTGTAAGAAAACAATTACTGTATTTATT